TGGGGTTGCTGGGGGAGGTTGACAGCCCAGTGTGGCAATGCCAGACACTCTGCATTAGACTGGGAGCCACCCATCATGTGTTGCAGTGCCAGCAGACAGGTTTGGGTGGTGATAAAAGACTTCCTTGACAAAGCTGGAAGGAGCCAAGAGGTGGCAGCCAAGAGGCTCTGCTCCTCATTGCTCCCAGTCCTACTGGTGTCATTCCTTCCTTCCCCCCACAAGTGCCACCAGCGCCCCTGAGCCCCCCCCGGCTGCTGGCCAAGCAGAGCCGCCAGCTCGTAGTGTCGCCTGTGGACTGCTTCTCTGGTGATGGACCCATTGTCTCCATCAAGTTGCTCTACAAGCCCAAGGATGACACCTCAGCATGGTCATCCATTGTGGGTATGTGTCTGCTTGGGGACTGGGGGGCACAAGTAGGATCTGGGTGGGAGGGTATGGCTGCTCCAGCTGGTGGGCATCTGGACCATCCACCTTCTCCTGGGACCCCCATGGTAATGCTGAGGATGATGCTGGTGGCAGGGTAGATTGTGGGTCATGGGCATGGCTTTCACATGTCCTCTTGGCCAACAGTTGACAACAGTGAGAATATCACCCTCATGAACCTCCGGCCAGTGACTGCCTACATCGTGAAGGTGCAGCTGAGCCGGCCAGGGGATGGTGGGGAGGGCAGCAAGGGGCCCGAGGCCATCATGGTGACCGAGTGCCTTGGTGAGCATCCATCTCCCTCATCCTGACCTTAACGCTGACCCTACCCCTAACCCTGCGTGGCGCGGGCTCTGCAAGCACCCGGGGCTGAGGCACTGTAATATTTTGCTGCCTTTTTGTTTGCAGAGCCCACAGTCAAGCCTGTGATCGAAGGTTGGTCCATAGAGGAGAAAAACACACTTCACGTCAACTGGAAATTGCCAAGTAACCACGAGCCAGCACATGGGTTCATCGTCCACCTCTTTGACTCTGCAAAGCGGCTGGTCTCCGAGAAAAACATCACTTCCATCTCCGTGCTCTCTGCCCGCATCGGCAACCTGGAGTTCAACAAGGAGTACGGGCTGGAGGTGCTGGTGTACCACTGCACCAGCCTGGGGCCGCCCTCCGACCTCTACAAGGTCATGATCAACAGCAAAGGTGGGTCCAGCAGAACACAGGAAATTATTACAGGAACTACAATGATAAATCAGTTATAATTGTAACAGTGACCATCCCCAGGTCCAGCTGCTCCTGTATCCCATATCTGATAGAGCATGAACAGCTGCTTGGGTCCTCCTTTCCCCACTAGACCCCACAGGCTCCAGCACCAAGCAGATGAGAAACATCCTAAGCTGAACATGACATTCAGGCCATCAGGAGTGACGCTCACAAACAGACGTGTCCTCTGCACCCTTGCCCAAGGGCCTGTCTATACTTGCAGCCTTTAGACTGCAAGTAGCAACAAGTTCCTCAATATAATTATACTTCGCATGAAAAAGTATTTCCCTTTGGTTCTCTTTAACCCTGCTGCCGGGTAATTTTGCTGGTCCTTGTGGGCACACACATACATGCACGCAGCCCTTCACATAGGGGAGGTGGAGCATCAGCCCAACCAATCTTTCTGGCAGCCAAGGGGGAAGAAGTGCATGATGCCTTCGATGAGGCTCACTGCCACTGGTACATGTTCAAAGGGCTGGTGGTCATCGGGCTTGGTAGATGTGAGGTTTTCACTGCTTGGTGCATGAAAGAGCTTTGTGTTATTTGGGGATGTGGGGTTGGGGATGTGGGGTTGGGGATATGGGGTTAGGGATGTGGGCAGGTTGGAGAAGCCTCAGAGGAGGTTATGGGAACACTGTATGTGAGAGAGGGTTGAAGAAATAAAATATCCCAAGGGCTAGCTAATACACAGACATCCAGACTGACAGTCCAGTCCCTGAGGCTGAGATCATTTGGGGTACAGTCCTGCCCCACTGTTGTACCTGGAGCGCAGCTCTACCTCCTCCTGCACCTCCTCCAAGCAGGAGCCAGGGATCCCTGGAGGTCCCTCAGACCTGGCACAGCTTTGGTTGCCATTGACATCCACGGGTTCCAGTCCTCACAGCAGCATTCAGCCCCTGCAGCTCCAGGAGACCTGTCCTGGGACTGATGCTCTCCTTCCCTTGTCCCAGGTCCCTCCTCACCACGGTCGCTCTTGGCAGAGTCCGTGTCTGACAATGCTGTCAGGCTCTCCTGGCAGGTCCCCGAGTACCCCAATGGGGGCATCACCAAGTACATCGTGGAGCTGCAGCAGGTGGGGGGCACCAGTGAGCCCCAGTGGATCGACACTGACAGTGGCGCAGAGACCACCAAGATCGTTGGGGGCCTCAACGCCAGCACCAGTTACCAGTTTCGTGTCCGTGCCAACTCCCATGTTCCAGGAGAATGGAGCCAGCCTGTGAAAGCCAAGACCCTGGGGGACGGTGAGAGGGGTGTACCAGCAGGTAGTGAGCACACAGCTCCGCTGGAACTTGGGGTCTGCATCTGGGTCAGCAAAGAGTGACCAGTGGTAACACAGTGGTAACCACTGAGAGTGGTAACCACCAAGAGAGTGGCTCTGAAGCAGCAGCCCAAGCCCAGAACACCTGTGGGTGTCTTCAGAAATCCTGCTCTTCCTAGTCCTGATGGGGTAGGGGTGGCATGGTGACAGCACAGCAACACATAGTGGCTCTGCCTTGACCAGAGGGCAGCATGGTGCATGAGGGGCTAGAGAAGCAGGACAGAGCCAGCATGGGAGGAATTGGTGGGTGGACATAGAGCTGGTTGGAGGTCCAGAAACCAGCAGGTTCAGTAGCAGGGCCCAGGTAGTGACACCCTCATTCCTGTGCCACTATGGCACCAGGAGCTTGTGATATGGTTGTGGTGTCTTCATGTGGTCCCAGGGTGCTGAGAGAGAGCTGAATGCTTGACCTGGGCAGGGCTCAGCCGTGGACCACGACCCTCCATCCCTCCTTTGGCAGGAGCACTGAGCGTGCCGCCCAGCCTGGGCAGCCAGAGCACTGAGCAGGCAGGAATAGACCAGCAGCTACTCCTGGCCATCGTTGGCTCCGTGTCCGTCACCTGCCTCACCATCCTCTTTGCCCTCCTGGCTCTTTTCCTCATCAAGAAGAACTTTTTCCACCGGCGCCGCACCTTTACGTACCAGTCTGGCTCGGTGAGTGCCGCCTGCCCCACCAGGACCGTGTCCCCAGCTCCCCTCGTCCCAGCCCGATCCAGGTCACGCTCCATAGCCTCCAGTCCGGATGCAGCCAGAACTCACTTCCACACAGACAGGGTGCGGAGCCCACCCTTGCCCAGGACACCTGCCCTGCCGGGACTGCCGCACTGGCAGAGGGTTGCCCGGTGCCGCTAACCTCACCCGCTCCCATCTGCCAGGGCGAAGAGACCATCCTGCAGTTCAACTCGGGGACCCTGACCCTGACGCGCCGGCCCAAGCCGCAGCCCGAGCCCCTCAGCTACCCCATCCTGGAGTGGGAAGACATCAAATTTGAGGACATGATTGGGGAGGGCAACTTTGGGCAGGTCATCAGGGCCATGATCAAAAAGGACGGCCTGAAAATGAATGCGGCCATCAAGATGCTGAAAGGTGAGCATGGGGTGGGCTGGGGGGTGCAGCTGAATCCTGGGCCATGCCTGGGGTTGTGGAGGGGCATGAGACATCAGCAGATATGCAGAGGAAGGGCCTTTTTGTAGGACTGAGGTGTCCATCCCTTCTTTGCTTCCAGAGTTTGCTTCGGAGAATGACCATCGTGACTTCGCGGGGGAGCTGGAGGTGCTGTGCAAACTGGGCCATCACCCCAACATCATCAACTTGCTGGGTGCCTGCGAGAACAAAGGTGAGGGCTGTCCCCTTTTCCCTTCTCCCCAGTCCCACAGGCCCTGCCCAGCTGCGTATTCCTTTTTGCTGGGGTGAGTCCCACAAGCCCAACCTCCTCCTGTCACCCAGGGTACCTGTACATTGCCATCGAGTATGCTCCCTATGGAAATCTCCTTGACTTCCTCCGCAAAAGCCGAGTCTTGGAGACAGACCCTGCATTTGCCAAGGAGCATGGCACTGCCTCCACCCTCACCTCCCAGCAGCTCCTCCAGTTTGCTTCAGATGTGGCCAAGGGGATGCAGTACCTGAGTGAGAAGCAGGTACATCCCCAGCAAGCCCATCAGAGCATCCTTTCTCTAGGTCCTGAGGACTCCCTTTCAGGATATGAGACCTCTGGGGCCAACAGGAAGGAGCATATGGCTCCTGCTGACTGCTGGCCCCTTTCAGTTCATTCATAGGGACCTGGCAGCAAGGAATATCCTAGTGGGAGAAAACCTGGCCTCCAAGATTGCTGACTTCGGCCTCTCTAGAGGGGAGGAAGTCTATGTGAAGAAGACGATGGTGAGGCAGGAGCAAAATGTCTGCCCTCCATCCACAGGGCATCTGCCCTCCCTTGACCGTCATTCCCTCTGTTTCCTTAGGGTCGCCTGCCAGTTCGCTGGATGGCCATTGAGTCCCTGAACTACAGCGTGTACACCACCAAAAGTGATGTGTAAGTCCTGAAGGCAGGGGCACTGAGGCTGAGGTGTGGCTTGGCCATCTCCATCCCTCTTCAGAGTGGTCAGTGCAGTGCTTTTGCTCTGGGTGCTACAAGGGCTAGAGGTGATGCTGATGCATTTCCCTGAGGAGCTGCCAGTTCAGCCCAAGCCCTGGCTGCCCACTCCACCCTGAGCTTTGTCCCCATGTCTGGGGGCTCCATCACAGCCTTGGTTCCTACCTTTTCAGGTGGTCGTTCGGCGTCCTTCTCTGGGAGATTGTCAGCTTGGGTAAGGCTCTTCTGTGTCCCCTGCCTCCACTCAGGTCCCTGCAGGTCTAGTCCTCCCTCAACCCCACAGGGGTCCTCCCTCCACACCAGGGGCCATCCCACCACAGCCAGTTGTGTGTGTCTGGCCTCAGGGGGGACGCCGTACTGTGGGATGACATGTGCTGAGCTCTACGAGAAGCTGCCCCAGGGCTACCGCATGGAGAAGCCACGCAACTGCGACGACGAGGTGTAAGTGGGCACAGAGCCCCATGTCCCACTGACCCCACTGCCCCATGGGGCTCCTGGCAACTTGTGGTAGCTCCTGCCTGATTCTCCTCTGTACTGTGGCTGGGGGATGAGCTGGAGTCCCACACCCCAAACACCCTTCCTGGTCTTCAGTTTCCCGCCTGATTCCCCCCATCTGGTCCCTCTACCTGCATGCGCACTGATCCGCAACTGGCTCTCTGCCCCCAGGTACGAGCTGATGCGGCAGTGCTGGCGTGACCGCCCCTACGAGCGCCCACCTTTCGCTCAGATCTCCATGCAACTCATCCGCATGCTGGAGGCCAGGAAGGTGAGTGGTGACAGCTCAGCAGGAGGGATACCCGCCCTGCATAGGGCTTGTCTCAATGCTGGAGTATCCAGCAGCAGAACCTGTGTGACCCCACCATGCATGGGAGTAACCCCGCATCACTTTCTGGGGTGGAGAGCATGCCAGCTGGGATGGGAGGTAGTTGGGGACACTGTCCCAGCTAGCTCCTGACTGGGGTTCCCCTGCAGGCCTATGTGAACATGGCCCTGTTTGAGAACTTCACCTACGCGGGGATCGATGCCACTGCTGAGGAGGCGTGAGGCTGTGCTGGCACCACACAGAGGGGCAATGCTGGCCCCAGCTGCCAGGACAGTGTATGGGAACGAGCAGCTGCCCGTCCTTCTCTGGTGCCAAGCATCCAAACACCAGTGCCCCTTACCAAGAGCACCTTCGCCGCAGCAGAACTGTGCCATCCCCTCCCTGGCTGCCCACCCAATGTGTGCTGGCCCCACTGGCATGCCACCAGCCACTGACATGGCCCCATATTGCTGGGGGACATGCTGGGATGGCCCCAGGGACAAGCTTGCAGCAGCGCAGGTGGGAGATTTTCTCTCAGGAGCCAGGGCACTGCCGTCTGAGTTCATGGACATAAACGCTCAAGCTTTGGGGAGGGAGGGGAAGCAGTGACCCAGCAGCTGCCTGCCCTGTAGCTCTCCACATGCCCTGGACCTGAAGTGGTGCCAGAAAGACTTTGAACGTCACTGCCTGCCGGCTTGGGACAGGGCCACCTCGAGGAATGCAAAGGCATAAGGGACAGCATTGACTGTGTACAGCCTCGAGCTCTGCGATAACCCTTTGGAGGTGCCAGCTCTGCCTTACGGATAATAAACATAGTGCAACAGGCAACCGAGTCCAGAGAAGGTGAGGTGGGGACCCAGCTCTGCCCTGCTGGTGGCACCGGGGAACAGCATGCCTGGCTCCAGTGGTCTGCTGCTGTGGTGGGTACTCTTCGGGATCCTGTCCCTGTTGGGGTCTTCTGCTGATCCTCAGGTGTTGCTGCGTTGCTTCAGCCAAGACTTGCAGAGCTAAGCCATCCCCCTGGCTTAGGGCTAGAGACCACAGACACCAATATGGTGTGTGATCAAATAGCGGTTATTTTGCACACAGGTGCATTATATCCCTTTCTCAATGCGGAACTGAGCGTGTCAGCCAATCAGGGGGCAAGTCAGCGGTTTTTACCTTATAAGGTATTATTCTACGTGGTGCTTATAGCTTACTTCGAGCGCCAGGCCTTACTCTACACCCAGGGATGCCCCAGCACTCCCAGACAAGCCCCAAGTCTCATCATGCCATGGGGTTTTCTTAGATCTTTCTTAGATCTGACTGTGATCTCTCCCCCTGCAATATAAGACTTTGTCGTGTCCCCAAGGGATATGGAGAACAGACTGTCCTCCGTCTGCATAGCTGCCTCTTGCATGCTTGAAAACCCTTCCTGCAGCTTCCCCTCAGTTGGCTGCTCCTCACAGGAATGGCCCTGCTCTTCCGAGTAGTCCTGTGGGGCTGTGCAGCTCCACACCCTGCCCACCCTGGCCAGCTGCTGCCTGCCCAGCACCGCCTGAGCGCCAGTAACCTGCCATGTCTCACAAAGGGACTGTGGTGGTCAAGCACCCTGCTGAAACACGTGCCACTGGGGTGATGCCCTCTCTCATGCTGGTCCCTCGAGGATCACCTGAGCTCCTGCCCATCGTGCACTGCTGCAGTTTGTTGTTGGTAGTGTGTGGGCTTCATCTCTGTTGCCTTCAGCTTGCTAAGCCCCATGTGTGCCAACCAGCTGCCTCTCTAGCCATCCTCTACAGTCTGAAGGGAGCAAGGGCTGGTCCTCTGGCGGCTGGTATCCCAGCCAAAGGCAGGGGCATTTGAATTTGCCCTTCTGGGTAGGAGTCTTTTATCCCCAGAAGGTGTTTCATCTCTGTCAATACCATTTTGATTGACCATTCTGGTCTTCAGTGCTCTTTGATGTCAACTGCCTCCATCAGTACGCAGCTTCTCTGCCCCATCACTGAAGTCCCCAGTGAAACAGTTATGGGCACAGGCCTCCACAGGCAGCCCGACATGTGCCACTGCCTCTGCACCTCCTTCACTGCTGGCCAGGAACAGCATCTGAGGTGGTGTTATCAGCCCTGCTCAAACCTGATTTTGCTTCCTTGATGGCAAAGCCCAGGAGCTGGATGGAGAAGGAATTGGGATTGGTTTGGCAAAATTTAACCGTGACAAATTGGTGCTGGGTCTTCCCATCTCCCCTTGGTGCCTGCAGTGCTGTCCCAGCTGCAAGGCAAGGAGAAGCCAACCCACCCTTAGAATGGTGAGGATGAGTGTGAGTGGCTCCTCGCACCCTGTTGGGCTGCACCACAGAGCTACACCCAAACAGGGTGGAACACACCTTTGGCCTCTCGCACCGAGGGGTGGTGGTGGGTTGGCATGAGGTTGACCATGTCTGTGGGACCCTACCATGGTGTCCCTGCTCCTGTACCAGCACCACTACTAGCACCTGTGTGGGCCCTGCCAATACCCCTGTGCCTGCAGCTCCCAGCACAACCACAGGGACAGTGCCACTGGGCCATGCAGAGTGGACTCAGTGCACACCAGTGCCAGGCAGCACAGGGTGGGACGGAGCTGGAGCAGTCACCCCATGTCCCTGCAGCCCCCAACAGCTTGCTCTGCCCTGTTTTGCCCTGTCCCACACAGGGGCCTCCCTGGTTTCTCAGGGGATGTTTTTCTTCCTACCCCAGCCTCCCGGCGTGCCGGTAGCCACAAGGGCAGGACGTGCCGCCTATCTGATAGGAGCAGTCTCTCTTGGCACTGCGGCTGGCGGTGGAGGGGCCATGGCATGGTGGTTTTGGGCACGGGGAAGTGCCGGTGATGGGGTGGGGGGAGCCTCCAGCCAGGCTTCCTGAGCTGCACAGCCGCCACTTCCCAGATAAAGGTATCACCCGGAGGAGCTGCAGCAGCTCCCAGCAGGGTGCTGGGAAGGACCAAGCACAGCACACACAGCCCCG